TTCACCAGAATCCAACACTTCTTCATGATAAAAGACAAAAACATTCAACAACTACGAACCAAAAGAAACTTCCTCAATCTGATAAAGTTTATCAACAAAACTTCAGAGCAAACATCAATTATCATACTTAAGGGCGAAAGAGTGATTCCTTTACCAATGAGATATGGAACAAGACATAGATGTCTACTCTTTTTTTTCTATTCAACTTTATATGAGAGATTCTAGCAGGGTAATGAATGGGCAATAAAATGAGACAAAAGGCACCAGATTGGAAAAGAAGAAGTAAAATTATCTCTGCTTATAAATGACATAATCTTACATATAGAAAACCCCGAAGAATCAACCTATCAAGCAGGGTGGCAGGATATAAGATCACTATATAAAATTAATTACAGATCTCTACAGTAGGAATAAACCACCCAAAAAGGAAATGAAGAAACAGTTCCACTTAAAATAGCATAAAAATTAATTAAATTTTTAGGAATATATGTACCCAAAGAAGTGCAAAATTATACTCTGAAAACCACAAAACATTATTGAAAAAAATTAAAGTAGACCTAAAATAATGAAACACCCCACACTGGTTGATTAGAAGATAAAGTATCCTAAGATAGTGGTATTTGCCAAATTGATCTTCTAATTCAATGCAATCTCTATCAAAATAAACCCAGCTTGCTTTTCTTGTAAGAATGGAAAAGATGTTGGGGCACCTGGGTGGCGCAGTCGGTTAAGCGTCCGACTTCAGCCAGGTCACGATCTCGCAGTCCCTGAGTTCGAGCCCCGCGTCGGGTTCTGGGCTGATGGCTCAGAGCCTGGAGCCTGTTTCCGATTCTGTGTCTCCCTCTCTCTCTGCCCCTCCCCCATTCATGCTCTGTCTCTCTCTGTCCCAAAAATAAATAAACGTTGAAAAAAAAAATTTAAAAAAATAAAAAAAAATAAAAAAAAAGAAACATCTTTTCCATTCTTTTTTTCAACGTTTATTTATTTTTGGGACAGAGAGAGACAGAGCATGAATGGGGGAGGGGCAGAGAGAGAGGGAGACACAGAATCGGAAACAGGCTCCAGGCTCCGAGCCATCAGCCCAGAGCCTGACGCGGGGCTCGAACTCACAGACCGTGAGATCGTGACCTGGCTGAAGTCGGACGCTTAACCGACTGCGCCACCCAGGCGCCCCCCTGGAAAAGATGTTTCTAAAATCCATATGGAAATGCAAGAGACCCAGAATAGCTAATATTGAAAAAAGAAGAAAAAATTTGGATGAGACACATATCCCAATTGCAAAATCTATTACAAATCTATAATAATCAATAGTGTAGCATAGACATGAGGATAAATGTACAAATCAAAGGAACAGAATTGAGGTCTAAGAAAAAATCCTTCTATTTACAGTCCCATGATTCTCAATAAAGATGCCCAAACAGATGCAGTGAGGGGAAGACTAGGTTTTTTTCAACAAATGGTACTGGGATAACTGAATAACAAAAGAATGAAGTTGGATTCCTATCAAACATCACATTCAAAAATGAGCTCAAAATGGATCAAAGAATTAAATGCAAGATATAAAACTATAAAACTCGAAGAAGAAAACATAGGTTTCCATCTTCTTGATCTTAGACTAGGCAATGATTTCTCACCAAAGCATGGGTAACAAAAAAAAAAGGGTAGATAAATATCATCAAAATGTAAAACATTTATGCTTAAAAACACCATTAATAAAGGAAAAACAACACCAAGAATTAAAGAAAATAGTTTCAAAATATACAGCCAAAAAAGAGACTTGTATCCAGAAGTATACACAAAAGAGATTTGTATGCAGAATATATATGCATTTCTTCAAAAACAGACAAATAGCGAATACAACATCCAAAGATGCTCAACATCATTAGCCATCAGGGAAACGCAAATGAAAAGCACAATGAGATATCACTTAACATCCACAGAAATGACTATAATCAAAAAGACAGGCAATAACAAGTATTGATGAGCACAAAAAGAAATCAGAACTCTCATACATTGCTGTTCACAATGTAAAGTGGTGCACCTGTTTTTGAAACAGGTTTCTTAAGTTCCTCAAAAACTTAAAAGCAATTACAATATGACCCAGTATTCTCACTCTTTGGTATATACCTAAGAGAAAGAAAAATACATGTATGTATACATGAAATCCTGTACACAAATAGTCATAGCAGCATTACTCAGAACACAAATGTCTATCTACTAATGGTAAAGAAATAAAATGTAGGATATCTATGTAATGGAATATTATTCAACAAAGAAAGGAATGTGGTACTGATAAACATGCTACAACATGGATAAACACTGAAAACATTATTCTAAGTAGAAGAACTCAGTCACAAAAGACACTATGATTTCATTTATATGAAATTTTAGAACAGAAAATATATTGAGAAAGAAAGCAGCTTACTGGCTATCAAGTGTTGCAGAGAAAAGGGGGTAAATTCAGAGTGATTGCTAAAGGCTACAGGGTTTCTTTAAGAAATGATGAAAATGTTCTAAAAGTAATTGTGATAATAGTTGCACAACTCTGCACAAACTAAAAACTACTGCACTTGGACTGTGAACTTTAAATGGATTAAATGTGAATGATATGCCAATCAATATTTTAGAAAGGAAAGAAAGATTCAAAGTGTTCTTAATGTGCAATGTAATTATGTAACTTAGAAAAATCTAGAAAATGTACAAATTTTTAGAATAAGGTAATTTGAAAAAAAAATTGTTGAAAAGAAGGTTAAGATAAAATAAATCAGTAACTGTCTTGTCTTCCCGAAATAATCAGTTAAAATATAATTTAAAATATTACTTACCCTTATACAATTTGACAATATTAGTAGCTATTAATAAATTGAATAACAG